AAAAGAGAAAATGAGGCAGTAATTAAACCTGACATACCATGTTTTAGAAATGAAGATAGTTTAAGCCAATTTTTGCTTCCTTGCATTTCTAGATTTAAAGTTTATACCTATCAGGAAAGAGCATCTGAGAAGTCTGACCAACCTATGAATCAAGGGGTCTTTTGGAATGCTGTTGTGGGGAAACAGCAGAGCCTCCACATGGAATTAGAAATTGAAGGGAAAAAGGGTTTTCAATTCTGGATATGGGGTCACTTCCTAAAGACATCCACGAGGGCCTAAGATCCGCCCCCTAACGTCCCCCAAATCCAGCATGGAGGAAATAAGAGAAGTTAACCAAGACAGAACATTGCAAGATTGTAAAATCCTAAAGTGTAAAAAGCCAGAAGGGCAATACGCCATAATTGAGCCTGTAACCATACTGGTAAACTTAGAGAAAAAAAGTCTGTTTGACAAGTTAGTTTAAAAACATCTGAATAAAGTTATTAAGAATATTTTCAGTCTTTCAAATTATCCTGAGTGTGTTAAGAAGGGCCCCTTACAACTAACAAGCTATTTTGATTCTCTGAGCAGCGCTAGGAGCTGAAATGGACATAACAATGGAGTCTAGCTAACTCATTTTACTGCTTTAAAACCTAGCAAGTTAACTGAGATTGATAGAGGTGCTTTCAAATCTCCATTGTTAAAACAGAAGGGGGAGGAGAAGAGATATTCTATGTACTGTATGTGAAGAAGAGAAATTCTATGTGTGACCAACTTCACTTAGTCTTTTTAACTGAAAAAATTTTCTCCTTACTAAAAGCTTGTAAAAATATTAGTGCAAAGAAACACATTTTCACTTCTACAGAAAAAGCTGGTTCTAAGAAGTCCCAGGAAGATGAAATCCCATTTGGGATACCAGTCCATGAATCATCTGGAAGAAGGGTTACACACTTATGTTTTTGCAGGAGAAAGCTGATGGACTCTCTTTAGAAGGATGCAACCACGTTTAGAGAAAGATGACGGACAAGGAATAGATGAAGAAATCACCCAATCTTAACCATGATTCTGTTTCTGGGTTGCTAACAGCCCAAAGGGAGGGGCTATTTGTTTATGTTTTCACAAAGGAGATAGGTGGATTTCTCTTCAGCCAGAAAGGCCCAAAAGAAAGGCAGCTGATGGTGTGACCTGAGAGTTAAGAGAACAGCCCAGAGACCCCTGTCCTGTTACTGAAGTCATCCAAAACATCAAGACCTCGCAGTCGCATGAGAATGACAAGTGCTGCCTGCTGAGACATTTCTACCATTGCTGGTGCTGTCTAAGAGACACTCTGGGACTCTGTCATAACTGAACACTTTATACGATCATGACTGGACTATTACAACAGGCTGTTCATTTGCTAAAAGATCAAGAGTGTGGACTTGGAACATCAATTAATGCTAAAATGTGATTGCAGTGTAACTGATTTTTTGTGTAACCCCTTACCCATATAATAAGACATTGCACGATTGGAATTTGATTAGAAAACATTTGCAAGGGTTTAAGGGAAATATTTCATTGGGTGTTAATTAGCTAAAATATATATATATATATTTTCCCTATACATTCAAAGATAGACTTAAGGCATCCCCTAGCTCTGAGGTGATTAAACAATTGGTGCATGGTAGACAGAGGCTGGATCCCACGTGCTTGGGTTCAAAGTATTTCACATAGCTTATGTTCTAGTCTGACTGCTGTTCATCATAATTTTGATGATCACAGCCTTGTGCTGCTTCTACAGGAAGCTAAGTATATGAAAAGAGACCATGTTGCCTCTAAGACTCTATTAAATTTTAAACATCCTACAGAAAGAAGGGAGAAATGTGGGAAACTGAGAATGTGGGAAATATGACTAGGACTATATTCCCTAACTTGTAACAAAGGGAATCTAGAAAGCTAGTATTCTACGGTAGGAAAGCCACCACTCTGGTAAGGTCGAGATAAAGTCCAAGTACATGATCCAGCTTTAAATATCATTCCCACAGACGCTCCTCTGACAGCTATGCTGCCTTGACGTGAGTGCGTGGGTGATTCTGTCTCCATGTGGAAGCAGACGTCCCTTGATTATCTCTCCTGCTATGACACCCATCCTCTCTCATGCCTTCCCCCAATGCAGGCATTAGGTTTCCTCACCTGTGAGCTCAGGAACTTGACTTCGGAAGAAAGGTCAGGGTTTCTGCTCCTGTCAAGAGCTACAGTCTTGGAAACCTGGAGGAGGCCGTTTAACCCTGCCTGATAGGGTCCCTGTGAGTCCAAATTGATACAATGGCTGGGAGTTTTTGAAGTGTTTTTTTCACCCCAATCTCTTCTTGATACTTCAATTTTTATTGCTAATCTTTTTGCATGCTTTATTCCACTGTGTATTTCAGGGGTCAGTAAACTATAACCCACAGGCTCAATCCAGTCTGTCTTGATTTTGTTGATAAAGTTTTGTTAGGACACCTAGTCATTCATTTACATATTGTCTGTGGTGGTTTTCACGCTTCAGTGGCAGAGTTAAGTGATTGTAAGGACAGTCTTACCCACAAAGCCTGAAATATTTCCTGTCTGGTCCTTTCTCAGAAAAAGTGTATTGACCCCGGGTATATATCAATCTAGTTTCCCCCCCCATTTTACCTTATAGCTTGAGCATTTTCCCATGCTACTAAAAATGCTTCATAAATAGAATTTCTAAGAGTACCATATATTTTATCGTGTGGTTATGTTGTGGGTTAGCTTATTATTCTCCTAATTCTTAACGTTTATGTGGGTTCCCCCCTACTTTTTCACTCTAATAATATTTCAGTGAGTGTGCTTGGACATGCTATACATGTTTTTAATTGTTTTTTTGGTCCATGTTAAGCTTTACCCATGTTTTAAATTATTTCTTTAAAGTAGTGTCTAGATGATTTAACTAGCAGTTGTGGACATCTTCAAGCCTCTCAATACATAACACCAAGTTCCTTACTCAAAAATGCTATATCAACTGGTGCATCCAATACTCGAGGAGAGAGTTTGCTTTCCCAAACACTTGCCAGTGCCAAGTATCACTATTTAAACATTTCTTGCTTTTAGACAGCAAAGCAAAAAGCTAATACATCCACTTCTTAATTATGAACATAGTTAGGTACCAAAGACCACATTAGTATGAAGAAAAAAAATTTGACTTTATGTGAAAATGGAGGATGGTCATATCATATTACAAAATGGAGTATCAGTATATGATTACATAACTGTCAAGTCGCCTCATTACATAACTGCCTGGCCATTGAGAATTGTGGCCCAGCAAACTTGAGACATAACCTTGACCATCATAGCCAGCATTACTCTCACCTTACAACTTGGTGTCCATTACTGGCAGACTTATGTTATGAAAGTACAAAATGGTCAGATAGTAGGTTTTTTTTTTATGTTTATAAAGGTGAAATGTTGGATAAAGAGACAGTTGATAATTGAAGAGTAGGTATATTGCAGTTTGTATTTCTTCTATGTTTAATGAGATCTGACTTACTATTAAGTAACTGCATTTCCACTTATTTAAGTGCTGCTTATTTTGTATCCAAGCTTGGCATCCTCCTGCATGGGCAGAGTGCAGGATGCTGGCCCTGTCTCCCACCTTGGCTTGGAGTAAGGGTTCTGCTTCCATCCGCTTCTTTTCAACATCTCTCTCCCAGAAAATTCTGACGGTCTCCAGGATGTCATCCAGGCCCGTGCCAACGGGCATGTCTACTCGATCCTGCTCAGATCCTGACAACTCTTTGTACAGCACCTTCACATCCTGAAAACAAAGGTGACATTCCAAGTGAGCTGCAGGGGAGCAAGTACGGAGAGGAAGTTCTGGGTCTCTGTGGGCAAGTCATCCCATTTTCACTCTGCCAGGGCCAAGCGTGGCAAAGGGCCCGGTCCTTTTTTGGACCAACATGCCATGTTTGCTTTCTATTTTTTCAAAGACACATTTAAAAAAAAGTAAATCATTTAACTGGGGCTCTTGCAACTCTGATAATAACCCATTTATCAATTATATCAAGCATATATGTACATAGGTTGCCATCATTTTCAAAATATTCTCTTTCTGTTTGAGCCCTTGGTATCAGCTGCTCTTTTCTTTCTTTCTTTTTTAATCATTTTATTGGGGGCTCATACAGCTCTTATCACAATCCATACATACATCCATTGTACATTTGTTAAACACATTTGTACATTTGGTGCCCTCATCATTCTCAAAACATTTTCTTTTTACTTGAGCCCTTGGTATCAGCTCCTCATTTTATCCCTCCCTTCCCCACTCTCCCTCCCTCCCTCATCCTTGATAATTTATAAATTACTATATTTTCATGTCTTATACTGACTAATATCTCCCTTCACCCACTTTTCTGTTATCTGTCTCCCAGGGAGGGGGTTATAGGTAGATCATTGTGATGGGTTCCCCTTTGTTCCCCCACCTTACCCTTACCCCCTGGTATCACTACTCTCATTATTACTCTTGAGGAGTTTATCTATCCTGGATTCCCTGTGTTTCCAGCTCTTATCTGTACCAGTGTACATCCTCTGGTCTAGCCGGATTTGTAAGGTAGAATTGGGATTGTGGTAGGG